GAGGCTGAGATCTGAGGATTGTGGTTCAAAGCCAGCCTGGACAGACAAATAAATCTAAGAGAGGGGCTGGGAAGGTGTTCAGGCCCCATGACCGGACCCCCCCAAAAAAAAAAAATCTAAGAGACACATATCAATTAAACTCCCAAAATAGCCCAGGATAGTGCTCAGGCCTTGCAGTGAAAGTTCACTACACACACACACACACACACACAGACACATACAGACACACACACACACACACACATACACATCATATCACAATTAAAAATCTTGCCAGGCAATGGTGGCTCATACTTGTAATCCAAGCTACTCAGGAGGCTGAGATCTGAGTATCAAAGCTGGAAGCCAGGCCGAGTAGAAAAGTCTGTAATAGGGCTGGGAAGGTGGCTCAGTGGTAGAGTGCTTGCCTTGCATGCCTGAGGCCCTGGGTTTGATTCATCAGCACCACATAAGCAAAAAGAAAAAAGCCGGAAGTGGTGCTGTGGCTCAAGTGGTAGAGCGCTAGCCTTGAGCTGAAGAGCTGAGGGACAGCGCCCAGGCCCAGAGTTCAGGCCCACGACCGGACCCAAAAAAAAAAAAAAAAAGAAGAAAAGTCTGATACTCTTATCTCCAATTAACCAGCAAAAAGCCAGAAGCAGAGCTGTGGCTCAAGTAGAAGAGTGTCAGCCTCGAGCACAAAAGCTAAAGGACAGCTTCTAGGCCCTAAGTTCAAGCCCCAGTACTCACAACAAAACAAAACTAAACTAAAAACCCAAAACAACCAGTGATACAGAAGATGGTGGAGAATGCCTGTTACCTGGAGGTTGTGGGTGGCCGGCAGGCGGCGCTGCTCCCAGAGGCTCAGGGAACGCTGTAGTTCTTGTGCTGGACTTGGAGGAAGGCCTGGAGCCTGGGCCAGGCTACTCAGCAGGGCCAGGCTAGCAGACAGACTGGTCAGGTAGTAGCCACCTAGGACGCAAGGAAACAGAATGCAGTTTAGGCGGGGAGGTAAGGGGGCCTGCTCCTCGCTTTCCTACTTACTCAGAGCCTTTAACAGCTAAGGTCCCCCCAAGCACCCCCAGACAAGGAGGTGCATGAGTTCCCTCACCCTCTCCCGTGAGTAGGGTAGGCTCCAGCAGCTCAGACATGTACTCAGCTTCTAGCAGGAGGTCAGGAAGGTCACACTGGACCAAGACAAGGCTCAGCAGTGGCAGGAATTCATCAGCCCCTGCGTCCTCACCTGTGGAGAACAGCAGAGGACACTTCAGGTTGGCAGCCGGGGCGGGGGGCGGGGGGCGGTGGGTGGGGGTGGGGATAGAAGGTTGTCCATGGTCAGAGTTCAATGCTTGTTCTAGGCAGTGATCGCTCCCTGCCTCCCACCCAGTCACAGGAAGTTCTTCAGGCAGACCCTCAATGCTCTGAGTTCTGAGTCTGAGCCTCAGTTACACCATCTGAGATAGGAGGGGTTGTGAACCCATTGGGGCCTGGGAGCCTCTCTCTAGAAGAGCCTGCCTCTAATTCAAAGAGCTTTTTGGGGGTTGGGTTATTGCATCCCGGGGGTGGGGTGCTCAAGGAGGTGGGCTGCGGCCCTCACAGCAGCTGGGGAAGGGTAGGGGAAGGCCCCCAGGGTCCCAGGGGAGTCCGGCCCCCTCCCCACACTCAGGCCAGGACAGCCATACCTGCATGGGTCTTCAGGGCCGTGTAGAGTAATTTACAGGCCTGCAAGAGCCGCTTGACCTGGGCGCTGGGGGAGTAGGCGTGAAGCAGCTGCAGTAGTTTCTGGCGCACCTGCTCGGTCTCCAATGAGGAGGGCAGGCTCAGCTGGGTCCCCAAGGCTCCAGGGCCTTGAGCCCGGGCCAGGCGGAGCCCCTCGGCCAGGCGGCCAAAGGAGCCATCTGTGGAAAGCCGGCGCCGCAGGCGGGCAGCCAAGATGGGCCGGAGAGGCTTGAGTACCGAGCGGTGTAGCGACTTCTCCAGGACATGTTCTGTTAGAGGAGGAGCAGGCGGGGTCAGGAGAAAGGGGCAGAAAAGCCAGATGCCCCAGGCAAAGGCAGGAGTGGGAGGAGAGAGGCCGGCCAATGGAATTCACCAGAAAGCAGAATTAGCATCAGAAAGGCAGGGGCACCATAGTGAGAAGGAGCTAGGCACACAGGCAGGCAGGGGCTGGATCCCTGAGGCCTGGGCTGGGGCCTTACCCAGCCTCTCTGGAGGTAGCAGCTTCTCGGGACCCAGTTCTGCGCTCAGCATGGCCCTGGCCCGGCTCAGTGCCTGGCGGACACTCTGCAGCTCCTGGGGCTCGGGGCCTGCCCGCACCTGGGTCAGCAGGTCCTGCACCAGCTGGCCCACAGCTGTGTGTCTGTCTTGTGTCATCGTTGCTGCCGCCCGGCCCACCTGCCTCTCGGGTGTCAGCAGGGAGCAGAAGGCAGAGCTCATGGAGCGCAGCAGAGGCCGCCTCCGCCTCTGCTGGCCCAGGTGCGGGGAGGTGACGGGGCTGCGCTGGGATTCCGAAGGCCCTTCCTCCTCAGAGCTGCTGGGGGAGCCGCAGTCCACCTCCTGGAGGGAGGGCAGCGGGGGGAGCCTAGGGCCTGTGCCCACGGGCACACGGTACCCCAGGGAGCTCTCCCTCCGCAGTAGCTGGCGAGGAGGCAGCCACTCGGTGTGGCTGGGCACTGCCCCTGGTGGCACAGGGACCGGGGGAGGTGGCACAGCTGGTGGAGACAGAGGGCTGGAGGTCTCTGTAGACACGCGCACTTTCAAGCTCCTCTTGAATTTCTCCCGCTTGGTGGGGCCCAGGTCCCCAGGGAAGAGGGGGTTGAAAAAACACAGGGCAGCGCCTGTGCCCTGGTCCAGCTCCTGAGGGGAGCGGGCCTTCAGCCGGGGCAGCGCGGGGGCTGCAGATGAGCCCTGCTGGGTCTTGGTGTTGAGGGAGGAGTTCCAGAACTCTAGGAACCAGAAAACCAATGGAGCATCAGAGGAGCAGGCTCAGAAGGCTGAGGGGCTTAGGTGCACTCCCTTCCTGTCCCTCTTGACCTCAGTCTGTCCATCTGTGCAATGGGTGACAGGGGAATCCTTACCAATGCCTAGATGGGAGATGGCTTCCAGTTCCTTGTGGGTAGACGCATGGTGGATAGCGCTGGGGAGACGGAGTGGAAGGAGAAGTATGTCCCTGAGGCCCAAGAAGGAGCAAACAGTCAGGAATGATAGGTGCTGGGGGCAGGGGAGGATGGGCCATTTTGGGGAGCAGGGCCTGTGGTCAGCAGATTCCTGGGGTGGACTCACCGGGTGTGGCAGTAGGCACAGATGAGCTGGATGAGGTCTGGGAATGTGAGCTCTGAGCCTTCCAAGCAGACACCTGAGAGGCAGGAGCAGCCAGGCTGGTCTCCGGGGACATCCCCACCCCATCCCCCATTCATCTGGAGCCCCTTCCCCACCGGGCTGGCCCCCTCACCCTCGGGGCTCTCCTGGATGTAGTGGCTGGAGACGAAGGAGGGGCCGCTGGCCTCTGGCAGCCGCACACACAGAGCCTGGCACTGGTGGGTGTTAGATTTCCGCACCAGGAAAGTCTGCAAGTGAACAAGATGCCAGTGTCCGGCCCCTTCTCCCTCCCCTCCTCGGCTGGGCTGGCAGTTTTCTAAAGTTGGGGGGGGAGGGCGTCACTCACCCCGGGGGGCTCAGTCCTCAGCACGTGCAGAGCGGCTGCGGCATTGGCCCGCAGCTGCAGCCACACAGGCCGGGTAAGCAGCAGCCGTTCCCGCAGGCTCACAGTTCGCCCGGGCTGCTGGGGCCCACCGGGCTGCCTGACACAGGCGTGAGGGGTGTCATACAGGGGGTCCTGGGCTGGCCTGTGGGCACGCATGCAGACCTGAGCAAGGGTCTGGGGAGGACTATAGCTCACCCCTTCCCCATGTAATAGCCCCCCCTCGCCTCCCACCCTGGGCTAGCCCTCCCACCCCACCTGGCTGCCCCCTCCAACTTCACTAACTTTTCTCTCTGCAGGTGCTCAAGGGCAAAGTTTGGGCTGGGGAGCTCCAGAGGGTGCGCTGCTGGCTCTCCATGGTCTTCCATGGCTGTGAGCTTCTCTGGCTTTCTCTCGGGACTCAGGAAGAGAATCCAGCCCCCAGGCACAGGCGCACATTCCCGGCGGTGAGTAACACTTCCTGAGGGCGGTGCGCCCTGTCACACCCCGCCAGTTAACTCTTGTGTGTCCACTCTGACCAGTGTCGGCTTCCTCTCAGGTCCAGACTCGGCCTCAGGGGGTGGGAGTTGGGGGGAGGGGAGGGATCCTCTCCATGTGAGTGCTACCTTGGGGGCCCCAGCTGCAAGGTGTCACCTTCCTATCACCACTCCCTGCAGCCCTGCCAGCCTCTTCACCCCGTGCAGCTGGGTAAGGGAGGGGTTAAGCTGGCCCAACTTAAATCCCAACTCGCCCAAGCCTTGCCCTTGGGTTGCCTAAAGAAGCCTGTGGTCAGTTGCTCATCGGTTCCCGACTTGGGGGCTAACCTTGTGAGAGAGCACCCCCTGCTGGCCACAGATGACTCACTCTGGAGCCTACCTTGGCTTTTGGGACTTTAGGTTGCCATGGAGAAAGGATACTGTGTCTCCATGGAAACCAGCCTCTATGCTTAACTGAGGTTCTGGGGGTGGTTCTGACACTCTGCGCCAACCAGGGGTAGTGTGGCTGTGAGGCCTTCAGCACATGGTGCTGCTGTCGGCTGCCTCCCACACACAGGCCCTGCCAGCTTGCCTTGCCAATCTGCCAAGCGACTGGGGCAGGTGCCGGCAAGTCCCAGTCAGTCTCCAAGCATGTGCTCAGGCCCCTTCCCTGCCTGAGGCCATGTGCTTTTAATGCTCCACCCGATTCTCATATGGCTTCTGGCTCTGGTCCTGGCCCCCCACTTGTACAGCCTGTTTCCCAAGTTAGTGCCCCAAACTTTAGGGACTCCCGACAAACCTGCCTGTCTCAAAGCAGATTGGAAGCTCCAATTCCCTTACAAGGTAAATCAGATGCAAATGGACCACACTGGAGTCCCAGGAAAGGTTTTAATTCCAGTCCTCAAAATTCAGGAGGCAGACACCAGGGAAGTGTCCAGAGAAAACCTAGGGACAGGGCTGCCACCTCGGGGCAGGACAGACAAGCCCTCAATATATCATTTCTGGCTGGGCGTTCCCCACCAGTGGGACACAACTTTGAGGCCCAGCGGCTGGGGTAACAGGATCCAAGGTGGAAGGAGGGTTGAAGCTGGGGCTTAGGACAAGGTCCATCTTCTCTGTGGGAAGATGGGGGGCAAAGAGGCTCCTCTTCAGGAGGGGGAGGTGGGCTGGTCAGGGATGGAGAAAGTCTTGCTTGGCTAGGTCGGCCAGAACTGATGAGTGCAGAGGAGGGGCCCAGGCCAGGAATGGCTGGCGGGGGAGATCCAGTAGCCACACTGGAGAGCCTGCTGGGAAGCCCCGCCTCTCTGCAGGAAAACGCGAATCCTGGTGTGGTGCCAGCCACTCCAAGAGCAGGGTCATGGTCCTGAGGGCATGTGGGAAAGGGAGAAATGACTGAGAGGAAGCTGACCCACGGGGGGGGGGGGGGGGGGGAGCCACTTCCCTTGGGGGTCTGAGGGGAGTGCTCCCCTCGAAGGCTCGGGCATGGATGCGTCCTCTCCTCCCCCTCTGCCCCGCGGTACTGGGTGCCCCCTCCCACTTTTCCACCACTGAGCACTATCACTCAGAGCTTCCCACCCCTTCCCAAGCTCCAGGCGTTCACGAAGCCCTCAAGACTCAGATGGGGCCATTGTCCCTCTGAGCTCCTCTCCTGGAGGCCAGGCTGGGGAACAGGATGGCAAGAGGACACGCCCATGGTCCTTACCATCCGCTTTTCTCTTCTGAGGGGACACTGCTGCCCTGGCCTGGAGGGGGAGAAGAAAAGGCCCCTGAGAGCCCATCTTTGGCTTGCTGAGCTTCTCCCCAGCCCATGAAGGGAAGCAGAAGAGCCTTTCTGGGCAAAGCTCTCAAAAGTGTCTCTTGTCAGAAGCCCAATGCTCTTCCCTCCATTCCATCTGCCCTGGAACAATTTCTTGCCTCCTATTCCAGCAGGAGGACCATCAGCTGCCTGGTGGCCAGGGCTCCAGGGCTGAGGGAGAGGGTACTGAGGGAAGGAAGATAATGCCCCAGGTCTTCAGACACCAGAGCTGGTGCCCAGGTCAGGGAGCTGTAGTGCTGCCACCCTGAAGATGACAACTGGGTAGCAGGGACTCACCTTCTTGATAGCAGTCCAGTCCTCCAGAATGTCGATCTCCTGCAGCATGTATACAATGTAAGGGCCTGTGATGGGGGTCAAGGAAGCAGGATGGCCACTAGAGAGGCAGGAGATGGGAACGGGCTTGGGCTGGGAGACCACAGAAGGGTGCCACCCACCCAGTGCTTAGGAGCGGTGGTACACGGTCAGTGTGGAGAAGGTGAAGAGCCTGAATTCCAATGCCAGCTCCACCACCTACTGTGGAGGCCCTGGTGCTCAGGGGCTCTACGGGCTTTCTCCCCAAGTCCACAGAGTACCAAGCCCTCCTACCTGCAGGGCCCCTGCACCCCTCCCCCCACCTAACTTCCACACTGCCTTCTAGATCCCTCCCTTCTGCCTCATGGCCAGCCCTGGCTGCCCATCTACATAGCTGTGCACTGCACTGGAGGGCTGAAGGCCTCAGGCGGAGGGCTTCTGCCTGAAGTGAGTGGAAAAGAGTCCCCCTGGGATGGGGGTACCCCAGGCAGGACATGGAGTGCACAGGGAGCCTCAGGGTTCGGGGAGGCCACCAGACAGGAGCTCCAGCAGAAGTGAGTGAGGCTCAAGATGTCCAGGGCAAGCCAGAAGAGCCTTGCGGCTGACTCTCACTCAGAAAGTTGCAGGGAGTCTGTGAGCTAAGCTTCCTATTCTCCTAGAGAGACTCCTAGAGTCCAGGGAGGACGCAGAACCCAAGTAACACCTGACAGCCAGACTGATCTGGACATGGTAACATGACACTATAACAACTATGAATGAGTCTAGTTTACCTCTGTCCCCTGCATCTCTCCCACCTCCCCCCTGCTCAGCCTTAGACACTTTGGAAGGATACCAGAAACCAGAGGTGCCTTCTTCCTCTTGCTGGGCGGTAGTGAGTCCCAGGTCTTTGAGCTGCCTCTGGCGTGAAGTTTATCATCCCACCACTCTGTGCCCCAGACCCAGAGTCAGATCAGGGCGCTGTCCCCACATGCGGCCCCCACCCCTGCAGCATCTGCCTCAATGGCCAGCATGGCCTCCCCTCCCACACCACCACCACTCAGAGCTGTGGCCCAACCCTGGGCGAGGGGCTACAACTACAACTACAACTGGAAGCCCCTCAGGGCTCTGGGAAAGGCTATTACCCTTCTTTCCTAGATGAACCTCAGTTTCCCCATTTGTTTAGAATACAATAGGTGGAAGACAATCTCTGTCTCTACACAACCCCAAATGAACAGAGGTGCTATGAGGGGCAGTGGCTCATACGTGTCAGATAGATACCCTCTATTCCAGAAAGGAGGAGAATGGGGGCCCACTCTGTGTGCGATACCAGGCTAGGCCCTTTCCTGAGGTTTTGTTCTGTCCTCACAGAAGTAAGTCTAAGCCAGGTTGGTAGCTTATGCCTGTAATCCTAGCTATTCAGGAGGCTGAGATCCTAGGATTAAGGTTTGTAGCCAGCCCAGGCAGGAAAACCTGTGAAACTCATTCCCAATAAGCACCAAAAGGCTAGAAGTGATGCTGTGGCTCAAGTGGTAGAGCACTAGCCTTCAGCAAATCAACTAAAGACAATGCCTTGGTCCTGAGTTCAGGCCCCAGTACAGATACATACAAGAAAGCAGGCCCTGCTTCCCTGAGGTCAGCAGGGGAGTCTGGGTCCAGGGAGGGCTGGGGGCTGGTCCTCACCAGAGCTGATGTCCAGGCTCTGGCGGTCCTCCTCCAGCCTCTGGATCCGCTCCTGCAGCTCCCCCTGCAGGGTGTCGTACAGCAGCAGCTTCTCGCTCTGGAAGAGGTGCAGTGCTCAGCCAGGCGGCCCCAGGCCCTTGGCCTCCACCTCACCTACCCTCCCAGGCCCAGAGGGAACTCACCTCCAGGTGCTGTTTGGCTCCCTGTAACTCACACTCATACTTATTTCTGATCACATCCAGACAGAAACCCTTGTAGATGCCTGCAGAGTGAGAGACAGACCCCCGATCGGCCAGGGGCCCTGCTGCCCAAAAAGTGGGGCAGGCTGAGGCAGGGCAGGGACAAGAACCAAAGGGACCCGGACAGAAGCTGTAGGTTCTGCTGGGGGAACAGGACAGCCACAAACCTGCCACCTGAATACGGATCTTGAGGCTCCGCTGCAGCCCCCCAAGAGGCTCTGTGTATTCCGGGGCTCTTTCAGCCCCCACTTCCTCCAGCCGCAAGCGCAGCTGGCTCAGCCGTTCCCTGAACAACCTGGGAGGCAAGAGGGCAGCCGTGGGCCACTGGCTCTCCACATGCTCACCTGTGCTCAGAGGCAAATATGAGCCAACAAACTGCCTGCTCCCCACAAGCCCCACTTGGCAGTCTTCACTCCAGTTGTTAGCACCCAGCCTGCTGCCTCCTCACCCCAGGTGCACAAAGACCAGCCCCAGCGGGGCCCCGCGCTCACTTCTCCTTCAGCTCTGAGAACTGCTTCTCCAGGTCTAGCATCTCGCTGACACACTCGCTGCGGCGCCGTTCGTAGTCCTCGTCGTCCATCTCTGGGACAAGAGGCCAATTAGGGCTGGCTCGGGGGTGGGGGTGGGGAGTGCTGCTTGTGTGTGTGTGTGTGTGTGTGTGTGTGTGTGTGTGCATGTGTGTGAAAGGGCTCACCTGAACTCTCTTCCTCGGACTCAGTCTGGCTGCCACTCCGCTCCTCCTCACTCTCATCCTCCTCGCCGTTCATCTCAGCAGCTGAATCACCCTCTGCTTCCATCTCTTCAGGGTCTTTGCCTTGAGGCTGGACGGGCATGAGGCTCTAGGAAAGGGAGTGCAGCCACTGGTCAGTACTGCCCAGTAGAGGGCAGGAGGGAAGTCGAGCAAGACGGTCTATTGCTGGCTGTGCCACGATGAGCACAGATGGGGGGTGGGGGCAGCAGCATCTGCCCCTCTCGCAGAAGCTTGGAGCCATGAAAATGCTCACACCAGTGGATGCTGCTGGTGATTCCAATTCTGGGAACACTGGCCAAGGATACAATCTACAAATGGAAAAGGGAAGGCTCCCTGATGCCCACACACTGGGCCCAAACTTCTGATTGGGTCTTTCAATGCCCTGCACAGACAGACTTGAACTTCCTCCCTACATGCAACAGCCAGGTCTCACACTCCCGCCTCCCTCCCCTGTCCATGTTCTGCCCATTCTTCAAAGTTCATGTGTTGGAGACTTAATTCCCAATGCAACAGTACTGGAAGGGGACCTTTGAAATGTGATTGGGGTGCATTCCTGGGTGTATCCACCTATCATGGTTCCAGAGTAGCTGGGATTATAGGGTTGAGACATCATGACTGGTTAAATTGTTCTGTGCCAGTCCTGGGGCTTGAACTCAGGGCCTGGGCACTGTGCATTTTTTTTTTTTGTTGTTGTTCACGGCTAGCACTCTACCACTGGAGCCACAGCTCAATTTCTGGCTTTTTTGATGGTTAACTGGAGATGAGTCTCATGGACTTTGCCAGGGCTGTCAGTTACTAGCCTCCTGAGTAGCTAAGATTACAAGTGTGGGCCACTGGCACCTGGCTTAAATCTCTGCTCTTTTTTCTTTTGGTTGTAAGGCTTGAACTCTGGATCTAGATACTGCCCTGAGCTCCTTTTGTTTAAGGCATGCACTCTACCACTTTGGCCACAGCACCACTTCCAGTTTTCTGGTGATTAATTGGAGATAAGAGTCTCATGAGGACTTTTCTGCCCCGGCTGGCTTTGATTTGAGATCCTCAGATCTCAGCTCCTGAGTAGCTAGGATTACAGATGTGAGCCACCAGTGCCCAGCTAAATCTCTGTTCTTAATGATTCAGTCTTGGGTATTGTATTTTTCTCCTGCTCCTCCTCCTCCTCATCCTTCTCTGCCTTCCTTCTTCTTTTTTGTAGAAGTGCTGGGGATTGAACTTAGGACATGAACATGTTAAGTACTAGCTCTACCACTAAGCTACATCCCCAGTACTTAGGTCCTATTATAGTAGCACAGATAGGACCAAGATAGCATGCTACGTCCCATGAACTTTAGATGTGTTTGGGTAGTTTCTAAGAAAAAGGAGAGAGAGGGCTGGGAAGGTGGCTCAGTGGTAGAGTGCTTGCCTTGAATGCATGAGGCACAGGGTTTGATTCCTCAGCACCACATAAGCAGAAAAGGCCAGAAGTGGTGCTGTAGCTCAAGTGGTAGTGCCCTAGCCTTGAGCTGAAGAGCTGAGGGACAGAGCCCAGGCCCAGAATTCAGGCCCCACGACCACCAATAACAACAACAACAACAACAAAAAGGAGTGGGGGGTAGCATATGCTTGTAATCTCAGCTCTCCAGAGGCTGATGCAAGACAGTTTTAGAGTAGCCTAGGCTAGATGATGAATGAGACCATAAATAAGTAAAAGCAGAGGAGCTGGGAGTCCTTATCAGTGGTAGAGCACTTGCCTAGCGTACACAGGGACTTGAGTTCCATCCCCAATACCTCAGCTAGAGCTAAGGTTTGAGGATCATAGTTTGGAATCTAGGTCAGGCAGGAAAGTTGGTGAGACTTTTATCTCCAATTAACCACCAAGAAGCCAGAAGTGGAGCTGTGGCTTAGGTGGCAGAATACTGACCTTGAGCAGAAAGAGCTAAGGGATAGAGCCCAGGCCCTGAATTGAAGCTCCACACAAGGAGCTCTTTGTAAGGAGGAAAACCCTTTTACTGGGAGGAAGCACTGGAGACAGTGCCAAGTAATACCAGGAGAGCACCTGAGATAAAGACTGAACTGTCTGCACTCTCTGCCAATTGGAGACTTCTGTTTCACTGTGCTGTTCTTCCAACTTCTCTGGCTATTGCCCTGTAAGGCTTTCAAATACTGTGGACACTGCCTTTACCAGGAAGCATTCTTGATTGATACCTCCTATTGTCCATTCTTTTTTGTTTTGTTTTCGGTCCTGGGACTTGAACTCTGGGCCTGGGCGCTGTCCCTCAGCACTTCAGCTCAAGGCTATCACTCTACCAATTGAGCCACAGCACCACTTCCGGTTTTCTGGTGGTTGATTGGAGATAAAGTCTCACGGACTTTCCTGATGGGGATGACTTTGAACCGTGATCCTCAGATCTCAGCCCCCTGAGTAGCTAGGATTACAGGCATGAGCCACTGGCACCCAGCCTATTGCCCATTCTTGTATCGAGTCTCCACCAGTGAGTTTAGGAGCCTCATGGTTGCAAGGGCGGCACAAACGTTTTATTTGCACAGCACAGCACTGGCTTACTTGATAAATTTGCACACACAAATTGTTTTAAGTAACTGTTTCAATGCAGGGACTGCCCTTTACTTCGTGAAAGCAGGTACTATTACAGATACCTGTAATGGTACCGACAGTACAGTACCCGGCCTGCAGGAGAGTTCCCTCATATTCCTCAAACATTTCACCAGTGTTCAGAACCTGACCTAAGATTCAGCCTCATTTCCCCCCCTTTCTCAAGCCCCACTTCCCAGCACTGGTTCGCGTCTGTATCTTGTAAGAAGATTAAGTCTTACCGCTTCCAGAAGCACCACTCTCCTATGGGGGGGAGGGGGGATTGCGTTCAAGTTCCCTCTCCTCCTTAACCCAGCTACAAACAGGGGAGCACCACTGCTGAGAGTAAAGCGCACCCAGAAGCGCTGTGCACCTGCAACTCACGTCCTCAAGGACAGCCCGTCCGGGGAAGGCTGACTGCTCCCCAGAAGCCCACGGCCCAACTCAAGCTTCTCCACAGCGCTCGGGGGGGGGGGGGGTCGCGCCCCGCTCCATCCTCCCAGGCGCCGGCGCATGACAGACGGCCGCGGGCTGCCCCCGGCCCGGCCCCGCGCGCCTCAGGTCGGTTAAGTCGCCTCTTTGGCTCCGGGGGTGGGGGTGGGGGCATCGTACCCCAAGCGACCGACGGATGACAGAGGCCAAACCGGGAGCGGAGATACGCACCGCAGGACCTGGGGCTTCCGGTCTCAAGGTCCGAGACTCCTAGGAAAGTGCCCGAGCCTGAGGGTGCCGGCGGCGACGCCCGGCTCCCGGAAGCGCCGCGCAGGTCCCTCTTCTCCGGGAGGCCGGACCTGTCGGCGCTTCCGTGTGCGTCATCAGCAGGCGCCCGTCGTGGGGGACTCGCAATTGGACAGTTAGGGCCGAGGCCTGCCGGGATACCGCGGGACGGTCACCATAGCAACACCGGACAATCACGGAGGCCTCCGGGGCCTCGTCGGGCGGGGGCCGAGCTCCGGTGGTTTCGGGTTACCGTCGGCGTGGCCCGCCATCTCCTCTCGGGGTGTCACCGGAGAACCTCGCTGCCCGCCCCCCAACTCAGGAGAGTAACGGAGCCAGCTGTGGGTGTGAACACTCGTTTATTTACACATTGTCATCCGAAGCCCAGAGTACCCAACCCAGCCTGTGGGAGGGCACCGATCTCAGACTGTCATCCTCTGAGCCCGCAGACACTTGCCTCTGCGCTCCAGCAAGCTTAGCTAAGAACTAAATCCAGTGCTTTGTTAAGTACTCAGACTTGTCATTCCTCTGCCATTCACATCTATCCACCCAAGGTTGTTAATAATAATAATAATAATACTGTAATATTAATAATACTTCACATTTGTACGAAGCTTACAGAATGTTTTCACACACAGCATCTCCTCTGAACCTCCCAACAGTTCTGTGAGGTAGGTATGCTCACCTCCCTTTGTACAGACAGGGTAACTGAGGCTCAGAGAGGTAACAGAATTTGCTCAAGGCCACACAGCTAGTTAGTGGTACAGCTAGGACTTGGTCCCAGCACCCCATGTTCAAGTCCAGTGTTCCAACACCACAGCTACCTCTGTAACGTGGAGTGACATTTCTTGCCCCAGTCAGGCCTGAAGAGCCAGAGGCTGAGATTTCTCAGACTAGGGGAGGGAAAGACTCAGCAGCGACGGGGAGAGTTGGGGTACTTGGCCTTCAAATCCTGTTTGAACTGGCGGTACAGGATCTTATTGTGCTGGTTTTCAGCCTCCTTTTGGGGATGGAACTTCAAAGCTTCCTTGAAGCCCTTATGAACCAGGAAACCTTCGTTCAGCACCTCAAAATCAAACCCTGCCACATGCAGCTCACAGGCCTGTAGAGGGAGAGATAAGTCAGAAAAGTTGGATGCCACCTCCAGGCCCAGCTGGGCATCTCTGAAGCCACCCTGCAGATTCCTCTGGGAACCTCCCACCCGACCACTTTTCAAAACTCAGATCTTTCCTGTTTCAAGGCAGTTTTCTATCCAGGACCACTCCATTGTAGAACCCACCACCCCTCTTACCATCCCCTCCCACCTGCTCTCCCTTTTAGGTACCTGGCTGATTCGGTTGAATCCATACTGCCGAAAGCGTTCATCAAAGGTGGGCACCTTGCCTCCAGCTACATAGAATGGCTCCCAGGGGTCCTGCCACGGCACTACGTAGGCAGGCCTCAGCAAACTCTCTTCTGGCAGGTTGACCCAGCGGGAGTAGTTGGTGGGCGCCTGGCAGGGTGTGCATAACCCATAATAGAAGGGCCGAACCTCGCCCACTTGGTAGAGCTGCAGCAGCTCTGTCTTACTCATGGGCATGCGGCGGGCTCGGCGGATCTCGAAAGCAGGCACCACCAGGGCCGTGCCCCCCCACTGGTTGCTCTGATCCAACATTTCCCGAAGGCCTCTCCACAGCCCCTCGCTGGGCACCATGTCCACGTCAATTACCAGAGCATAGTTGGCCCCCTCACGAGCCAGATTCCTCAGCAGGTTATTGGGATAGGAGACGTTGGTTCCCAGTGCGTAATTGATCCCCGGCTGAGCCACCCTGGCAAGCTTATCAAAGACCTCCTGGCAGGACCGCAGGAGGGCGAACTCCCCAGGCTCCCGGGGGTCGGGCACAGCGGCCTCGTAACGCGAGGGGCACACGAGGTGCATGGCGACCCTGGCGCGCATGTCGGGGCAGTGGCTGCTCAGCGCGTAGGCCAGCACCGTGGCCAGCTGCGCCTCCTCCTTGGTGGCCGCGAACACTGACACGGACAGAGGGCCTTCCCAGCGCTCCAGCAGGCCGGACAGGTGCAGCAAGTTGTCCACACTGGCGTGCGTGGCCAGGATCACGTCGTTGGGGTCCATGGTGGTCTTCAGTAGGCCCCTGTAGACCCGATAATCGCCGCTGGTATCCAGGACGCCTCCGGAAGCCAGCGCGGTACGAAGCTGCGCCTTCACCTGGTCCACGGATCGCGGGGACGGGGGGAAGAACTCGAAGTATTGGTCCTGCTCCTCCTGCCCGTGCAGACCGGACAGCAGCGACAGGTAGAGCAGCTGCAGCATCGCCACCAGCATGAGCGCCGCCAGCAGCAGCTGGTAGAAGGCGCATCGGATGGCGTAGGACATCTGCATGGCTCTCCGGGCTCGGGACGCGCCGCGAGGACCACCGGGCCGGAGACTCTGCCAGCGGCCGCAAGCCCGGATTTACCGCAGCCAGCCGAGCGCAGCCGAGCCGAGTCGAGCCGAGCCGAGCCTGGCGCGCGGCGCCGCCCACCGCCCCGCCAGCGCGGGCCTCGCCGCGCGGACGGCGCCCCCCGCAGGCCGGGAGGAGCTCCGGCACCCGCGGCCGCCGCGCGGGGTCTGCGGGCGCACCGCCTGCCCGCGGTCCCGCCGCGGCCGCCGGAGGACCCCGGGGCGCAGCCCCCTCTCCCCGCAGCGCCCTCCAGGTCGGGGTGCAGCCCCCGGCATCAAGCGCGCCCTGAAACCCGGGCACGCTCGTCCCGACGCGAGGAGAAGCCGCGGCTGCAGCTCAGTGTGGGATGTCGCGGTTCCCGGCCGGAGCGCGCCGAACGGAAATGGAAAAGTCTTTTTTTCCCCCCTCTCCCTTTTCCACGGAGTCTTCCTTCACTGAGTTCCACGAGGTCGGTGTCGGAAAACGGGCGATGGAGGCCCGGAGGTGCGGAGGAGATGAGTGATAAGGAATGTAGAAAGGAGCACCGCGTGTGGGACGAGGTGGCCGAGTGGTTAAGGCGATGGACTGCTAATCCATTGTGCTTTGCACGCGTGGGTTCGAATCCCATCCTCGTCGGCTGGGTCTGTTTTACAGAGGGGCGGCCTCTTAATTTTCTATATCTGTCCTGGCCGGAGCAGCAAGGTGTAGGGAAACGGAAATTTGGGTGCCGCTGGAGTGCTGTCCAAGTTGATGGTATCTTTCCTGTACTCACTGTACCTTCCCTGCCGGGTTCAAACTCCGAGTCGCAGGACGTCGAGCCCCGTGGGGTAACACGGCCTTCCAGGTGAGGTAAACAGGTGTATTTTTCTTACTCTCAGCACAGGGGTGAGTGGCACCTAAAAATGTTACTTGCAGCCATTCAGAGAAGCCTTCACTGGAGATGTGGTAACCCAGTACCCCTCATCCTGCAGGGTAGACCCGGTGTTTGATCATTTACACTATTTCTTCCTTGGTCTTTCCCTCCCTAACCCTTCTCCCAAAGTGGGGAGTACACACCACCACCCCAACACACACACGCAGAAGGCGTCAGTTCCCCACCAGCCACTACACACGGAAAGCACTTGTTTGTGGATTGCTTTGGCACGCACTCTTTATTAATTTTATGCAATAAATACCTTTTTGGGGGGTGCCAAGTCAGGGGGGTACCTCTAGAGCAGAGTGCTGTTATTCTGGGGAAGGAGGTAGATCTGGGAGGACCCCCAAGTTCGCACTCCCGCTTCTCAAGGAGTAGGGTGCCAAGGTGAGTGAGCTGAAGCACAGCCCTATGTGTAGTCATTGTGTGGGTGTGCATTTATTTATTTAGCGTGTGTGCATTTGTTTCTTTTTGACATGATTTTAACTAGATTGATTAGTTGGGAATTCAACTCAGGCCCTAGGTGGTGTTCTTTTATTTTCCACTCAAGGCTGGTGCTCTACCACTTGAGTCGCAACTCCCCCTTTTTTTGGACATAAGTCTTACTCCAGCTGGCTTTATAGGATTCTTAGATCTCAATGGAGTAGCTAAAATTAGAGGTGTTGTAAACCACAGCACCAGCTTACTATTTGTTTTCTAAGTCTTATATCTTTTGTTCAGTATTTCTTCCAGAGCTTTTTTTTCTTTTTCTTTGTTTTTGAACCAGTTATAGGGCTTGAACTCAGAGCCTGGGCACTGTCCCTGAGTTTCTTTGATCAAGGCTAGAGCTTTACCACTTGAGCCACAGCCCCACTTCGGGCTGTTTTGGTAATTAATGGGAGAGAGGAAACTTTCCTGCCTCTGCTGGCTAGGAGCCATGATTCTCAGCCTCCTCAGTAGCTAGTATTATAAGCATGAGCCCTTAGCACTCAGCTTCCAGCTTTTGTGTGTGTGTTTAATTAGGAGCTTTTTTGTTTTTGTTTTTGTTTTTCTGTTGGTCATGGGGCTTGAACTCTGGGCCTGGGTGCTGTCCCTCAGCTCTTCAGCTCAAGGCGAGCACTCTACCACTTGAGCCACAGCACCACTTCCAGTTTTCTGAGTGATTTATTGGAGATAAGAGTCTCACAGACTTTCCTGCCTGGGCTGGCTTTGAACCTTGATCCTCAGATCTTAAGCCTCTTGAGTAGCTAGGATTACAGGTGCCCGGCTGACAAATAACTTCTTAAACTGACAACAATCCCTTTAATTATTTATCTTGTTTTGTTTTAGTCTGAGTCTTGCACTCAAGGCTTAGGCACTGTCCCTAAGCTCTTTTGCTCAAGGTTAGCATTCTATCACTTTTAGCTACAGTGTCACTTTCAGGCTATTGAGTGGTTAATTGGAGAAAAGGGTCTAACTGGGACTTTTTTGCCAGGGCTGTCTTTGAACTGCTATCCTCAGATCTCAGCCTCCTGAGTAGCTAGGATTTGCAGGCATGATCTACTGGCACCTGGCTTTATCTTTAATATTACACACACACACACACACACACACACACACACACACACACACACGCAAAAACAAAAACCATGCTTCTATACAGTTCTGACCTTGTCTCTTTTGTCCCTTGTCCTTTTTTTTTACAGAGTGTACTTTCTTCTTCTTCTTTTTTTTTTTCCTTTTCTTTTTTGTCTTGGGGCTTGAACTTAGGGCTTGGGCAGTCTCAGCTTTTCCCTCAAGGGTGCTCTACCACTTTGAGTCACAGTGTCACTTCCAGTTTTCTGGTAGATAATTGGAGATAAGAGTGTCTCACGGCTGGGAAGGTGGCTCAGTAGTAGAGCATTTGCCCTGCATGCTCCAGGCCCTGGGTTCAATTCCTCAGCACCACATAAGAAAAAAGCCGGAAGTGGCGCTGTGGCTCAAGTGGTAGAGCGCTAGCCTTGAGCTGAAGAGCTGAGGGACAGTGCCCAGGCCCAGAGTTCAGGCCCCACGACTGGACCCCCCCCCCCAAAAAAAAAGAGTGTCTCAGGCTTGCCGGGTGCCGGTGGCTCACGCCTGTAATCCTAGCGACTCAGGAAGCTGAGATCTGAGGATCACTGTTCAACCAGCCCAAGCAGGAAAGTCTGTGAGACTCTTATCTCCAATAAACCACCAGAAAACCGGGAGTGCAATGTAGTTCAAGTGGTAGAGCACTCGCCTTGAGCTGAAGAGCTGAGGGACAGAGCTCAGGCCCAGAGTTCAAGCCCCACGACCGACAAAAAAAAAAAAAGAGTGTCACAGACTGGCTGAGTGCCCAGGCTGGCTTTAAACTGCTATCCTCACATCTTAGCCTCCTGAGTAGCAAGGATTACAGATGTGAGCCACTGGTACCCAGCAAGATTACAACTTTTTATGTAGTGTGATCATCAATATATTTATAATTTTTTATGTAGGTCTTTTAAATAATATAGGGGAAAAAGAAAAGAAAAAATTAAATAATATAGGAAGGGCATATTACAGACTAAAAACATAACTACTATATATATATATATATATATATATATATTTTTTTTTTTTTTTTTTAATTTGGTTAGTGGCCGGGCTTGAACTCTGGGCCTGGGCGCTGTCCCTCAGCTCTTCAGTTCAAGGCAAGTGCTATACCTCTTGAGCCACAGCACCACTTCTGGTTTTATGGTGGTTTATTGGAGATAAGAGTCTCAGGGACTTTCCTGCCTGGGCTGGCTTTGAAACGGGATCCTCAGATTTCAGCCTCCTGTGTAGCTAGGATGACAGGCGTGGGCCACCGGCGCCTGGCTGCATGCCTATATTTCTGTTAGCCTCTGTAGTCACTTGCTTGGACTCAGGACTTCACTTTGCTTCTCCACTCAGGTCTCACGTTCTACCACTCTACAACACCAGGTTTTTGTTGGTTAATTGGAGATAAGAGTCTCACAGACTCTTCTGCCTAGGCTGGCTTCAAACCTCAATCCTTAGCTCTAGCCTCCTGAGTACCAGGATTATAGGCATGTGCCACTGGCATCCAAGTTGTTTTTTTTTTTTTTGGGTCTGGTCGTGGGGCCTGAACTCTGGGCCTGGGCGCTGTCCCTCAGCTCTTCAGCTCAAGGCGAGCGCTCTACCACTTGAGCCACAGCGCCACTTCCGGATTTTTTCTTTTTGCTTATGTGGTGCTGAGGAATCGAACCCAGGGCCTTAGGCATGCAAGGCAAGCGCTCTACCACTGAGCCATCTTCCCAGCCCCAAGTTTGTTTTAGACAGTCTTGCTATGTGGCCCAGGCTGCCCTTGAACCTGTGACTCACCTGTCTCACCCTCCTCCGTGCTGTGATTACAGGTGAGAACCACTACAAGGCATTGCTCTCCCTTGATCACTGTCTTTGTTTTGTTTGGATAGTGCTGGGGATTGAACCCAAACCCTTGTTCATGCTAGGCAACTTGTCGCTCTGCCACTGAGCCACATTCCAGCCCCTTTATTTTTTCAAATGGGTTTGTGTTACTTTCTGTATCTTTTATTTTTATTTTTTGGCCAGTCCTGGGGCTTGAATTCAGGCCTGGGCACTGTCCCTGAGCTTCTTTTGCTCAAGGCTAGCACTCTACCACTTGAGCCAAAATGCCTCTTCTAGCTTTTTCTGTGTATGTGGTACTGAGGAATTGAACCTAGGACTTCATGTTTGCTAGGCAAGCATTCTACCACTAAGCCACACCCCCAGTCCTCTTTTAATTTTTTGCCTGGTTATTCCTTTAAGCATTTCTTTCTTTTCTTCCTCCCCCCCACCCTTTTTTCGGTGCTAGTCCTGGGGCTTGAATTCAGTGTCTGGGTACTGTCTCTGAGCTTCTTTTTGCTCAAGTCCTACTACTATTTCTGGCTTTTTTGGAGTAGCTTATTGGAGATAAGAGTCTCACAGGGGGCTGGAAATATGGCTTAGTGGTAGACAGCTTGCCTAGTGTGCATAAAGCCACATAAACAGAAAAAGCCAGAAATGGCACTGTGGCTCAAGAGGTAGAGTGCTATCCTTGAGCAAAAGAAGCTCAGGGACAGTGCCCAGAGCCTTAGTTCAATCCCAGGATTGG